GGTTAAGTGGAGAGCAAATGTTTTGAGAATGATGAGGGCAATGAATGTACAAATGCGCTTTACACAATTGATGTGTGTATGGATTGCGATAAGAGTTGTAGGAGCCCCTAATAAAATGATTTTTAAAAAAAACAAAAAACAAAATATAACTCGAGAGAAGAACATTAACTAAAGTACCCTAAGAAGTAACTTGCATTTTTAACCTATTTTTAATGAATCTAACATCAGAAATCTGTATCTTCTTAGTATGCTCATGTCTTCTTCAGTATTTTGAAGTTCACAAAAATATACGAAAGCACAATCCACTAAAATACTTCCCATTTCTATTCATTCATGAACTGCTGCTACCACTACTATTAGAATAGCTATTAACCACAAGTAAGCAGGTACTTTTTTGGTTATTGTTTGAATTTTAATGTGAATTGTTGGTGGTGGTGTTGCTATGTGCCATTGCATCAGTTTCGGCCCATAGAGACCTTATGCAATACAGAACAAAACGCTGCCTGGTCCTGTGCCGTCCTCAGTTGTTCTTATGCCTGAGCCCGCTGTTGCAGCCTCTGTGTCCGTCCATCTCCTTTGAGGCCTTCCTCTTTTTCGCTGACCCTCCACTTTACCGAGAACAATGTCCTTCTTCAGGCACTGGTCTCTCCTGACAAGATGTCCAAGTAAGTAAGACGCAGTCTCACCATCCTTGCCTCTAAGGAGCACTGTGGTTGTACTTGTTCCAAGACAGATTAGTTTGTCCTTTTAGCAGTTCATGGTACTTTCAATATTCTTCTCTAGTATCACAATTCAAATGTTTCAAATCTTTTTTCAGTCTTCCTTATTCAATGTCCAACTTGCGCATGCATATGAGGTAATGGAAAAATACCATGGCTTGTGTCAGTCTCACCTTCGTCCTCAAAGTAACATTCTTGCTATTCAATACTTTTAAAGAAATTTTATGTAGCAGAGTTACACTTTCTCATCTTTTGATCTCTTGACTATTGTTTCCATGAGTACCGATGGTGGATCCAAAGAAGACAAAATCTTTGACAACTTCAACCTTTTCTCTGTTTATCATGTTACCTATTGGTCCAGTTGTGAGGATTTTGGTCTTTTGTACACTGAGTTGTAATCCATACTGAAATCCTTGATCATCAGCAAGTGCTTCATGTACTCCTCACTTTCAGCAAGCAAATTTGTGTCATCTGCATATCGCAGGTTATTAATACGCCTCCAATCCTGATGACATTTTCTTCGTACAATTCAGCTTCTCTGATTTGCTCAGCTCACAGATTAAGTATGGTGAGAGGATAAAGCCCTGATGAATACCTTTCCTGATGTTAAACCATGCAGGATGCCCTTGTCCTATTCACACAACTGTCTCTTGATCCATGTACAAGTTCTGAATGAATACAATGAAGTGTTCTGGAATTCATATTCTTCTCAAGATTATTCATAGTTCGCTATGATTCAC